CTGTTCCTGATTAAAATTCTAAGCAAACCAAAAATAGAAGAGTACTTCTCCAGCCTACCAAAGGGCATTTATGAAAAACCTATGGCTAATAGACTTACTGATTAAGGACTGAATGTCTCCTCCCCTAAGATCAAGAACACAAGAACATCTGCTTTCACCAATTCTATTCAACTTTGTACTGGAGGAGTTAGCCAGTACAATAACCCAAGAAAAAGAAACAAAAGGCAACCATACTGGAAAGGAAGAAGTAATATTGCCAGCGTTTACAGACAATATGACCATTTATATAGAAAAATCCAATGGAGGTTACAAAAATCTAATGGAACTAATAAAAGAGTTTAAGTAAGGTTGCAGGATAAGATCAATATACAAAAGCAATTGTATTTCTAAATACTGGCAATGAACAACCAGAAATTGAAATCAGAAAATACCATTTACAGTAGAATAAAAAATCTGAAATACTTAAAACATAAGACTTATGAAAGACTGTACAAGACTGGTACCATGGTTGCCTGGGGATGGGTGGGAGAGGGAGACTACAAAAGGGTACAAGAAAACTTTTGGGGGTAATGACTGAGGTAATGGTTTCACAGGTACATACATATGCCCAAATCTACCATGTTGTATACTTTAATATTTGCAGTTTATTATGTCAATTATACCTCAATAAAGCTTTAAAAAATGAAACCATGTAAGTACCAGATGAAAACATTAGTGAATTCTTTTATAATCTCGGGGTAGAGAAAACTGTCCTAACTATGATAAGAAGACACAAATTCTAGAAGCAATAAAGACCGATATATTTGATGATATAAAAATCTTTCACATGGCTAACACACACACACACACACACACACACATACACACAGCCCCACCCCACCATAAAGTGAGTAAAAATACAAATGACAACCTGGGAAAAATATTTGCCAACCAAATCACAGACAAAAGGTTAATATCTCCAGTATATAAAAGGCTCCTAAGAATGAAGAGGCCCATCACCCTGTAGAAAAACGGGTTAGAAATATATATAAATAATATACAGAGAAAGAAATGCAAGTAGCCTTTAACTATATAAAAAGATGATCAATTTTGTCTATAACAGAAATGCAAATTAAACTATATTGGGATACCATTTCCATCTATCAAATTGGCAAAAATCGAAATGTCTGACCATATATTATGTCAGAAAGCCTAAGGGAAAACAGGTACACATATCTTGCTAGTGGGAATTCAAGATGGCACAATTCCTATGGAGGGAAATTTGGTACTCTCTAGCAAAATTACAAAAGCGTATACCTTTTGGTCCAGAGATTTCATTTCTAAGAATCTAGCTTAAAGACATACTGGCAAAAGAGTTGTATGCTCAAGCCATTTCGCTGTGGTACTATTTGTAAGACAACAACTGAAAATAACTGAAATGTCCATCAATACAGAATTGGTTGAATATGATTAGTTTGCACAACACAATACAGATTTAAAAAGAAATAAAAATTATGTATAGATTCCTATGAAGTGGTCTGAAGAATACACTGTTATATGAAAATTGCAAGGTAGAAAAAATGTATATTTTATGTTACTATTTATCTAAGGGGGGATATGAATGTCTATATACTCACATTTTTAAAAAAAGAAGGATAAGCTATTTAAAAACAAAATGGCTATCTAGAAGGAGAGGGAAGGAAATAGGGTAGAGGAGACAGGGAGCTTTTCTGAATATACCTTGTTTTGTGGATTTGAATTTGGAATCCTGTAACTATTTTATAAAACAAAATTAAATCAAAAATAAAGAATTCCAACACTTGAAAACAAAATGAAGCAAATGCATCTCACTGCATAGAACTGGTGGCATAACCACACAGAGAACAATTCCAAGTTAGTGATGTAAGTAATCACAGTGTTGATTCCTTTGTTATTTTGAAACTGTTAGTGTGTAGTATGGGGTAATTATGTTGAGTAATGAGTAATTATGTTGTTGTTTAAACTGGGATCTTTGGCATCTGAGAAAGGAGATTCATATGTAAGATAAATGAGGTTAAAGAAAAATCCTGTAGTGTAAAATGTGAATTAGATGTATCAGTCTGAATTTACAGTTTATCTGAACTGATATGGATTCATATTGACACCTACATTTCAAACACACACACACACACACACACACACACACAATGTATATATTCCCTTGTGTGTTCAATAAAAAAACAAACAAACAAACAAACCCAGAAACAGTTACCAACCCAATAATAATGAACATCCCTAGTACCCAGATCACGGTCTCTTAATACCAATTTCCTCTAAAGGAACCAGAGTTCATCGGAGAAATGACTGACTCCAAGCATGGGACAGGTAATGTGTAAGATGAACATAGAACATCTTAAATCATATTTGCAAGGATCATGTCAAAAGGATCTGACATGTCAAGTTGAAGGGGCTGCCACCAGCCAATAAATAAGACAATGTGTACAATAACTATCAATGTATCAAAAAAAAAACAAGTTTACTCTATAAGTTTATGAAGATACTAAAAAAACCCAAAAACCACAAAAACACAAACACCCCTCCAAAAAACCCTAATTCATCACCTATGGAGGATTGCAGGAAACAAATTATTTGAAAAACGATAAAGGGAAAGAATAAAACTTTATCCTGCCTTTTTATTATGAACTACACATCAGGATAACTGAATAGCTGTTAAATAGTAATTTCTTTCTATAGAAGTATTTCAGCTAATAAAGAAGGAATGATAAAATATCACCGTTTTATAACTCCTAATGAATTAATGGATCTTGGCAATGATCAAAGGGTGCCATCATCATAAGAAGAGAAATAAGGCTCTATATGCCTCTTGATGGGAAGCACACCTTAACTATGAAATATTCTTTCTTTTAAACTGTCGTAGAATATATATAACATAAAATTTACCATCTTAGCTATTTTTAAATGTACAGTTCAGTAGTGTAAAATATACTCATACTGTTGTGTAACCCATCTCTGGAACTTTTTCATTTTGTAAAACTGAAATTCTCTACCCAATAAACAACAACTCCCCATTGTTCCCTTCCCCCAGCCCCTGGCAACCACCTTCTACTTTCTGTCTCTATGAATTAGACTACTTTAGGTACCTCATGTAAGTGGAATCATATAGTATCTGTCCTTTTGTGACTGGCTTATTTCACTTATCATAACGTCTTCACGGTTCATCAATGTTGTAGCATATGTCAGAATTTCCTTCTTTTTTAAGCTGAATAATACTCCATTGTATGTATATACCACATTTTGTTTATCCATCCATCTGTCCATGGACACTTGGGTTGTTTCCACCTTTTGGCTATTATGAATAATGCTGCTATGAACATGGGTGTACAAATATCTGTTCGAGACCCTGCTTTCAAAAAAAAGCAAACCTGGGTCTGATCAAGTTTCTAGATCTAACTACCTATTCATATTTACAGAAAATACAGGGGACCAAAAAATACATCAAATAACACCACGGATAAACAATCAGCAAAAACAGAACTTCTTTCTTCAACAAAGTGCAGTGGGAAAAAAAAAAGGATGGAGGGCAAACCAATAAATTAAAACAGACCTATTAATCAATTGTAAAATATGAACATTATTTAGATCTTGATTTATAAAAATCAAGTATAAAAAATTATAGTTAAAAATCAGGGAAATGTGAACATTAGCTGAATATTTCATATGAAGAAAAGATCAACAATTGTTTAAGTTATGATAATGATACTGTGATAATATCTAAAAAGAATTTGTACCCTTTAGACACACACTGATTTATCTAGGAATGAAACAACATAACTGGCTCTGCTTCAAAATAATCTAAGAGGTGGGGGTAGGGATTGCGTGGGGGGACTGGTAGGGCTACAATGAAATGCAGAGTTGATAACAGCTGATAATCACATATGATTCTACTAGTTTGAAATTTTCCATAATAAAAGTTTAAAATAAAAAACAACTTTGAGGGGTGCCTAGGTGGCTCAGTCGTTACGCATGTGCCTTCGGCTCAGGTCATGATCCCAGGGTCCTGGGATCAAGCCCCGCATCGGGCTCCCTGCTCCTCGGGAAGCCTGCTTCTCCCTCTCCCACTCCCCTTGCTTGTGTTCCCTCTCTCGCTGTGTCTCTGTCAAATAAATAAATAAAATCTTTAAAAACAACAACAAACAACTTTGATTTATTAATTTGCAAACTGTTCTATGAGGAAACTACCATTATTTTGGTTCTTTCTGTTTTAAAGAAAAGTCATAAGCCTATGTGAAAACCAACAGCCCTGATAAACAGTTACAGTCAAATGATTAGTTATCATGGAAATTATTTTTTTTAATTTCTAAGAATAATATCACATTTTAGTTCATTTAACCCAAAATGCTATTTAATAAGGAAACACTCAATGTAAAATAATAAATGAGAACCAAATGGGCAAACAATTACACCCAAATTATCATCTTGTTCTTGGGGTGTTTTTAACTATTTGCTTTTTGTGTAAAGATAAGATATTGAGGAAAAAAACAAAACAAAACAAAAACAACCCTTAAGCTTTGATTCTACATAAACTGAATTCTACATTTAGAAACAAAAACTGAACTTAGTACCTTTCCTTAACCCTTAACTTGGCACTGTTACTAAGTATTAGAACTATAAATTCAATTTAAAGATTTAAATAAAAAGCTTTCTGGAAATATAATTACTTCTTTTATATGAACAACTCTTCCCCCCAAATGTGAGAACTATATAACTAACAAGTTTATAGAAGGGAAAGGTGATTAAACAGGGAGAAGCTAGTTTTAAAAATCAGAATTGTATCCCTTAGTTTCAGATGTTGAGAATTAAATGGAATTTAACAGTCATACATTCAAAAATATAAAAATATTTTAATTCTTTTTGAGTCACCTCTACCTCAAATATAAAACCCCACTTGAATTTCTGCCTCTCAGTAAAGGCAGTATCTGAAAATGTACACCAATCACAGGAACAGCATTGTTTAATCCTACCTGAAAAAGATCCAAAAGAGGCTTCCAAGAGAGCATTAAGACTGCTGCTCTGTTGATGGTTTTGGGAATTTCAGAATAAAACAATGTATTTTCTCTGTTCTCACCAGACATAGCTGTAAGAGAAAACAATCATTTAAAAATTATTTTCAAAAATAGCAATCTACTGCAATCACAGTCTAAATACATAATGCTTTAAAAAAAAAAAAAACATTTATTGGGGTGCCTGGGTGGCTCAGTTGTTAAGCGTCTGCCTTCGGCTCAGGTCATGATCCCAGGGTCCTGGGATCGAGCCCCGCATCGGTCTCCCTGCTCTGCAGGAAGCCTGCTTCTCCCTCTCTCTCTGCCTGCCTCTCTGCCTACTTGTGCTCTCTCTCTGTCAAATAAATAAATAAAATCTTAAAAAAAAAGATTTATCCATTTTTACAGAGACAGATATCAAAATATCAAATAATCAATATAAAAAAAAAATCACAAATTTCTACATGACCAAAGGCATTAAAGGCTAAAGACAAACCTCAGAGGAAAATATCACAATGGGTTAATTCCCTCACTATACCAAAAAAAAAAAAAAAAGCTTTAAGAAGAAAAATACCCACAATCCAATAAAAAATAAATAATGATTATAAATCAGTCACAGAAAAAGAAATACAAATGTCTCTTAAATATGTGAAAAGATGCTCAACCTCACTTAGAATTAAAATTACAATGATTAACCTTGTTGGAAGGATAATTTGGCAATATCAACCAAAATTCAGAATACACACACCTTTTGCCCCAGCAATTCTACTCTTTGGAATTAGTCTTATACATAAATTCACAATTTCACAATGATCCACTACAGTGATATTCATTGCCTCATCTTTTGTAACAGTATAACAGAAAAACCTAAATGCCCCTTATTAGAGGCATGGTTAAGTAAATATGGCTCAATTATATAATGGAATACTCTTTTAAGTTATTTAAAAAAATGCATCTGCAATTACTGATGTGGACTAATGCAGAGAGTATCTCTAAAAAAATATGTATGTATATGAATGACATAACTTTGGAAGAAAGGAGTAAACCTACTTTTAAAAATTTAATAAGCAAAGGGCACCTGTGTGGCTTAGTTGGTTAAGGGGCCGACTCTTTGATTTTGGCTCAGGTCATGATCTCAGGGTTGTGAGGTTGAGCCTGTCCTTGTGGAGTCTGCTTGTCCCTCTCCCTCCCCCTGCTCATGCTCTCTCACACGCATGCTCTAAAATAAATAAAATATTTAACAAAAATTTAATAAAGAAGTCAGTAGCATAATATATCTAATTTAGGCAGATGTTAAATGTGGAGTGAATAGGCTCAGGAAAAAGACACCAAAACCAGCCTTGGTTTAAAAAAATGAAAGCAGCAACTGTTGAGAGTGGTTTTACTGTTTGTGTTCCTAATCTGACCATTCCTAAGGAAAGGCATTTTGTTCCTTTAATGGAACATCACTGATTCATTATTTATTCCCCAAAATTTGAGTGCCAATTGTATCTATATTTTGAATTAAGAAAGCATTTCCTCTCAGAAACTATGACTTCATACTCACCAAGGTAATATATCCTGTCTGAATGAGGCCCATCTAGATCATTCCTCTTCACAAACATAAAATCATGTGGTGCCTTCGCCATCATGTAGCCATGATATTTTCTGGTATCAGCAAGGAGCTTTTTAAGCTGACTCCAGGAATATCGCTCAACATAAAATGGCTCCAATTTAGGCCGATCCTGTGATTCAATATTCTCCTCACAATCTGCAGTTTCAAAGATCTCAACACCCAGCTGTTCTGTTTCCATCGCTGCTGCCATGTTGCATTTTCCTAGAAAAATAAGGCACATGAAGTTGTTCACAGGCCTGCCTTCTTTCATATTAATGGGAATGAAAGTCTGATAGTGGTCCCCCCACCAAAAAGGCAAGGAAAAAAAATGCTCTTCAGCACAGCTGCAACGAAACCTAGTAAGAAAAGTAATAGTTCTACCTTCTCGGTGTTCAGTTTAAAAATGAGATTTTTTAAAAAAATTGAGGTCATGTCTGTTTCACTGTGACTATAAATCCTTTTAGGAACTTTTATAAAAGCCTGTCCTTACCTATCTCTTGCCAAAATTCCTTTTTTCTTTCCCACACTGGAAGGAAACAGGCCATACGCCAGTTGGCTGCTATGCTCCATCCAAGAGCATGTCAATAGTGAATCTAAATGTGCTAAGGGAGTTAAGTGTTTTTGCACTTAAAAAAGTAACACATTTGATAAATGTGGACTTCAGTTAACAGAAATAATCACGACCAGTTTATTATTAGAACAGAAATAAAATTGCAGCAAACAATGTACTTGTAATAAACTTCCTAGGGCACTTACCAAGATAACACTGTTTCCCTTTAAGTGGAACTCCAAACAATAAAAGACTTAACTGGCTGGTACATTTTTCTTTGTCTTCTGCTCTTGCCCAGACATCACTATCCTATGATCACTTTTGGTGACTATAAGGAATTTATGTAACTATTATTGCAAATTATATAACTTTTACTCTCATGATTAACTGGGAGAAAAAAGATACTATCTTCAAGCAGCTTTAATGAGGTGAAGTAGTTTATGCAAAAAGCATTTAATGTTTGTACTATTGATACTCTGACAAAAATCTGAACCCAAATTTGCAAATTTTCCAGTTCAACCCCAAAACAGTGTTAATATTTCATCTCCTAACGATATTTCTTTTCATTTTACAAATTCAGAAGTGGATGTATTTTCCTTTATCTATTTCAATATTTAAACAATATTTCAATATTTAAAGCAGTGACATATCAGGAAAAAATAACAAGAAGTGTTATAACAAGCCACTGTGTGGCTTGTATTCTGCCATGCATTATTCATGAAACTATCAAAAAGAAGCAACACAAACAAAAATTCTGGAGCAACCTGTGGATTTGGGAGAGAAACAGATTATATTTATGTAACTACCTCTAGAACAACAATCAATGCATGGTTGTGTATTTAATACGATGTCTTTTTTTAAAGCTCAATTTCCCAGGTTAACAAGAGTCCAGGGTAACTACCAACCACAGAGAAAAAGTAATTAGCAGGCTTGGGTTGTGAATTAGTCCACCAGGCAAGCATTATGGCGTGCAAAATGAAATGAACTGTGTGGCCAGGATAGTGTCTTTTTTTATGGTACAGTGACCTGTACTATCATTTTCAATGTAACAGTAGCAAAAGTGACCAGAAAACCCATTCAAGAATTCTATCAGGTATCCAACCTGTAACATTACTACAATGGGGCATTTACCTCCAAGGACCAAAATCCAAACAGCTCAGCAGAGAGAAAGTCATTTAGCTCAACTGCTACTTAGCACACTGATAGTAAGTGGCAGTATATAAGAGTGGAGACTGCCCATCTAAATGCTAGTGGGAAGCCTATTTTCTACCAAATATAGAATATAGTCAGTGGGTCTAGCTTGATTTCTAAGAGTTAGGGACAAGTGAGAGAAAAAGCTACACAAACCATGCTCATTATCCTCAACTGCCCAATTTTTAAATTTGGAACTTCATGTCCAAACCACTACTCACAAGAATAAGGCTAGGGAATAGAACCAGGAAGCTCAGCAGGCAGATTTCCCAAGGCTTACTGCCCAGGTTCTTGAGTCACCGTTAACTTGACATCTCTCCTATGTCAAAGTTGCATTAGCTTGCACTCATTAATAGCGAATTACCTGCCTTTCCTAAATTGTACTAGGTTTCTGGACTATTTCTGTCTCTCTACACACACACATACACACACAAATTTTACAGTTCAAATGACATTCTACTACTCTGTTTATAGTAAATGAATATCCCACATTTTCTAGGATATTTTAGTAATTTACACAAATGTGTAACAAAATGATTTAAGTTCCAGATTTCCATAACACTGTATATAAATACTTTCCCAAAGTTCTAATTTCAAAAATTAGAGAAGAGAATCCGCATACATTTTCAGCACACATATGTGCTGCATATACGTCACTGCCCCACCTACCTCCTCACTTAAGGCCCTTCCCTCAAAAGTGCCTACCTGATTGTATTTTCATCTGCTCAGATCTCTTCCACATTCAAAGAGATCTTTTTTCAAGTGACTCAACTTCAAGCATAGATCCCTCCGCTCATCTTGCTCTCTTCTCACAGGAGTCTTTCCTTTTCTCACCATCCACTCCTGCTCACCAGGATAACGAAATAAGATATAAGGCTGTTGATCATTATTGAAATGGATCATATGTGGCCAAAACGATTAAATCTAAAGTCCCAAATAGTATATAGAAATAGTCTTCTTGGTGTAATATATAATTATATATAATGCCTGCATTATTTTGTATCTGTATTTTAGATTACCAAAATCCTAATTTTTAAAAAATTTCAGAAATGTATAGTCTAATTTTCTCAAAAGGATATCCTGACAACAGTGTAAATCCTGACATCTAGATGTACATTAAAAGGAAAATTATGGAAGAACTTTAGAAAGTATAAAAGGCACACAAAAGTGAGGTTACTCAGGTGGCTATTGCAAATCCTCAAAAATGACAGATGATTACTAACATTTATTTCTGTGTCCTTGGTCCTGTTCCTGCTTTTACATTAATAATACATTTGTATTATTTTACATAATACATATTGAGCTGGTTGGAGACAGAGTAGACTTGTAGAACAACCAAAAAGAGTTATAAAACAGGCCATTTTTGTGGAAAGGGAACCAACTTGAATTTAATAATTTTTTCATAAGACCAAGAATGTGCTATCCATTTTAAGTGCATTCCACTTTTGCTCCTTTCCTTTCTAGCTATAGTCTGAAAATAACTGAATTAGGTAACTTTTCCATAAAAGGAAGCATTAAATTGTTCTGGAATTCCAGTAAAAGAAAGAAAGAAAGAAAAAAAAAAGAGGATCTGTGATTACAATTGTCATTTCATTATCAGTTTTAATTCTGGGCTTTCACAGCCCAAGTAGAGAATGGAGAGAGATGCGCTGAGAAAAGCTCGGGGCAAATGGAGGGAAAACAGTGAAGTTATGCTAGCCTAAGAACAATGGACTAAGATGTCAAGACACCGTCCCATGCACTAAGCCCCTCACTCAGAGGAGTATCTTGGGTTAGAGAATAGCTTCAGAACTCCTGAATCTGGATGTACTCAACTGTCATTCTTATTTTTAACCCAAGAGCCAAACAGTCGTCCAGTTGAACACCGAACGCCTCACTGAAGCCTAGCTATTTCACTCTTCAGGGTCCACAGCTAGTTGAGAGGTTCATTATCACTGACTGGGACAAAGATCTTGGAAAGCTATGAATGGGGAAGACAGGAGAGGTGTAACAGAGAATGTTGAGAATGGGGGGATGCCAAGTCTTAGAAGTCTCAGGAGAAAGTGAGTGTGTGAGGGGAGAGTTGGAAAGAGGGAAAGGCATGTATCTATCCTGCCCCGGGGTGTGTGAAATAAAATGAGAAGGGGCCGGTGAGCAGGGAGGGAATCATCGACCTAGAGTGAGGCAGGAGAAAGGAAAAGAACACCGGCTGGGAAATCAGAAAAATCTCAGTCCGAATCCGATCCGCCACAGTCGAACTTTAGGCAGATCCCTTCGCCTCTGCGGGCTTCCGTTTCCTCATCTGCAAGCCCGGGCAATACCCGGCTCCCAACCCCAGCGAGGCTCAATTAAGATAACGGACGTGGAAGTCCGGAGGCCAGCACCCAGCGCTCAGGGGGTGCCCAGTGAACGTTGGTGGAATCGGAATCTGAGAGCCTCGGCTTCCTCTTCCGGCAAGCGGGGCCTCGCCACCAGCTCTGACCCGCGCAGGGCGGCGCGCCGGGTAAACCGCAGAGCGGGCTAACCCGGAGAGCGCGCCGGGCGGTTCCTCGGTGAGGCGGAGCGGGCCCGCCGGGCTGGGGCCCAGGCCTCGCGGGCGAAGGGGAAGGAGAGGGGGCGGATACTGCACCTTCCCCCCCGGCCCCGCCCGGAGCGTCCCGACGCGTGCTACGGAGCGGGCCTGCGCCGCTTCATGCCGCGCCGCCTCTACTCCCGACCCCGCTGCGGCGGCTTCCTCGGCGACCGAGCCGGTGGTAACCCAGGCGGTGAACACGGCACTTAAAGGCGGTGGCGGCGGCGGCAGCGGCAGCAGCGCTCCGGCACTTCCGGTTCCTCGCGACCCGCCCTCCGACCAGCGAGGGCTCAGCGGGGCCAAGAAGGGCGCCGCTCCCTGCTGGGTGGGGTGCGTTGCCACAGTGCAGTCTAGTGGCCGGAGGAACAAACCCGGCGCGGGACGAGGGCAGATGTAATCCAGAAAGAGGCAGCGACTTGCTAGAAGTGGCAGGACGCACTGTGGCGCGCCTCTACTTATTCTTTTTTTTTTTTTTTCATTCAACAAATATATATTGAGTGCCTGCTATGTGCCAGGTAGAGTTGTAGATTAGAGCAAGGAGCTAGCCAGCGAAAAATCCCTGTTCCTGAAGGGAGTTGACAGAGGGGAGAGGCCGAGGCGGGGCGGGGGGATCTTTTATTTTTTATTTTTAAGATTTTATTTATTTATTTGACAGAGAGAGAGAGAGATCACAAGTAAGCAGACAGGTAGGCAAAGGGAGAGGGAGAAGCAGGCTCCCTGCTGAGCACGGAGCCCGATATGGGGCTCGATTCCGGGACCCTGGGATCATGATCTGAGCCGAAGGCTCAACCGACTGAGCCACCCAGGCGCCCCAAAGCGGTTCACTGCTGTGGTGGAAAGAAACCTGAACTTGGAATCAGAAAGCTTGGCTCTCATACTAATTAGTTATCTTTAGCAGGTCACTCAGTCTCTTTGAGCCATTGTTAATCTGTAGAAGAGATGTAACAGATTAGTTATAATTAAGAAAAACCCTATGTATCACAATAACACATAAAGATGAGGAAAGTGGGGACAGGACTAAGGCAGGAAAGTGAGTGACTTGCAACAAGAGGAGTTCCCTTCACCCATAATCTTTGTCCTATTTTACACCATACCTTGTCTGAGAAAAAGGGAGCCAGGCATGATTGGGAAAGTGGCAGGTGTAGAACAGAGCGATGGAAAAGGGGGCCTTCCCCTCTTTTCTATTATTACAAAGAGCAATGTGTCAGAGGTGTTTGTCATTAGGTTTTATTATAATGGCACTAATAAAAGATCCATTTCGGTGCCACGTTCCATTCCTCATTGTGTAGTTACTCACTTTGAGGCTTTTTTTAGTTGGACTCCCTTAAAAGAAAAGTACAGTCATTTTCACTGGGACTCCTCTGTGAATTTTCTGCAAATGACCTGAAAGTAGGTTTTAAGGCTTTGAATGCATATTGCACATACTAACAAAGTACAATGTAATGTCTTGCAGTTCATTTCCTTCAACCAAGTGTTTGTTGAATTGCTGCCATGTGCCTATCACTGTTCTAAGCATTGGGGTTGCAAGAGTGTATAAAGTAGACAAGATCCCTTTGTGCAGTTTACACCCTAATAAGAGGAAAAAGTCCTCGCAAAAAGCAAGCAAACAAAAAATATATGATTTTATAGATTAAAAAAAAAAACAAGCTCTGGAGAGGTTAAGTCACTTGGCTAATTATGGATTGATCTAGATCAGATTTCTTGGTTTTCAATCTTATTTTCTCTATGGTGGGCTTAAAAAGCCTCAAACCAGAGAAAGCTGTAGGGGAATATCTCCATCATCTACCCTGGCAACCTTGCATGTATCTCCATAGGCCTCACCGGCCTTGAACCAAAGCTTATCTGAGTCTTAGCAGAATGCTTTGTGATCCTCCCAGAACAGCAGAGGATGTAAGGCTTATGAGGATCTTAGGGCAATCTCCCCTGAGGGCTTCTTATCTCCCAGGTTCTGATGAGGTGTGGACTCAGCATCCTTCCTGGTGAAGGGGATAATGGCCAGTCCCGGTTCTATACCAGGATCTCCTGTGATGTCCTTCGTCCCAGCTGTACTGGTCTGAAGAGTGTCCTCCCCAAATCCATGTCCATCCAGAGCCTAATAATGTAACCTTACTTGGAAATTGGGTCTTTGCAGATGTTATTAAAGTAAGATCATGTTAGAGTAGAGTGGGTCCCAAATCCACTGACTGATGTCCTTATAAGAAGGCCATATGAGGAGTGCCTAGGTGGCTCAGTAGGTGGAGCATCTACCTTTGGCTCAGGTTGTGATCCCGGGGTCCTGGGATCGAGCCCCACATTGGGCTCCCTGTTCAGTAGAGAGCCTGCTTCTCCCTCTCCCTCTGCTGCTCTCCCTGCTTGTGCTCTCTCTCTCTAATAAATAAAATCTTTAAAAAAAATAAAAGGCCATATGAGCCCAGAGAAGTCCTCATAACCCCAGAGAAGGTTATGCAACAATGGACCCCTACAAGCCGAAGAGCATCAAGGATTGCCAGCAACCAACAGGTTGAGTTCTTGCCTAGAAACTTCAGGGGAGCGTGGTCCTGCCAGCATCTTGATTTTGGACTTGTAGCCTCCAGAAGTGTAAGAGAAGATTTCTGTTGTTTTAAGCCCTCCATCCTCCCATTTGTCATATTTTGTTATGGCTGCCCTAGGAAATGAACATACCAGCTAATCTTCAGGTACGACTTCCCACCCCCCCCATCATGAGGTACCCGATGAGATCTGTTATCTGTCAGTTTCTAATTGGCAGTCCACACTCTTCTGTTCCTTTCTGCCCCAATTGTTAGTCCTTCTTACATACTCTCCTGCACCTTTACCCGTACCCACATCCAGGAAGCCTTGGGCCCTCTTGCTAATATTCAACCTTTATCTCCAGTAGGTTTGGCTGCTTCTCAAGGGTCTTGCACTAATGCCTGGTCATGAGCACAGGGCTTTTCTTTCCCTAGTTCCCTAAACCTGCCATGGGTGTCGAGGGAGGGAGTATACTATTCCCTTCAGCTTTGGATAAGCCTTTAAGGGGAGGTGAGGGCAAGATTCAGGCTCCTTCTCAAGGGCACTCCCTTAGTTCCCCCTGCCCCTTTAAAAAAACCGTCCTACTGGGGTTCCTGGGTGGCTCAGTCATTTGGGTGGCTGGCTCTTGATTTTGGCTCAGGTCATGATCTCAGGGTCCTGGGATGGAGCCCTGCGTTGGGCTTTGTGCTCAGCAGGGAGTCTGCTTGAGGATTCTCTCTCTCCCTCTTTCTCAGCTCCTCCCCCTACCTGCTCTCTCTCCCTCTCTCTCTCTCTCTCTCTCAAATAAATAAATAAATCTTTCAGGGTACCTGGGTGGCTCAGTCGGTTGAGTATCCAACTTTGATTTTGGCTCAGGTCATGATCTTAGAATCCTGAGATCAGGCTCCACACATCTGGCTCCACTCTGAGCATGGAGCCTGCTTGAGATTCTCTCTCTTCCTCTCCCTCTGCCCCTCCCCTCACTCATGAGCACTCTCTCTCTCAAATAAGTAAGTAAATAAATAAAATCTTTATTTAAAAATAAAATAAATAAATAAATCTTAAAAAAAAATTCTCTTGGGATTTACTGAACTCCAAAATCAGGTTTATGATTTGTGTAAATGCCACTGAGCAGAGTCCCTTACTTCTCTTTTGACTTTTTTCTCCCTATTCTGCTTGGAAATTTTTTATTTAGTTTGCATATTATTCCAAATATTTTACTGTATTTTATTTTATTTGTTTCCTTTGTATTTAAATTCAAGTTAGTTAACATATAGCATAGTATTGGTTTCAGGAATAGAATTTAGTGATTCATCACCTACATCTAACACCCAGTGCTCATCACAAGAAGTGCCCTCTTTAATGCCCATCGCTCATCTAGCCCATCCCTCCACCCACCTATTGCAAATAATTTCTGTTTTACATGTGCATCCAGGTTTAAAGAGAAGAATTTGATATCTCTGTTCTCTGTTCCCATCATTACAACTGCAGAAGAGCAAGGGTTGCCACATCCTAGCCCCCTAAATTGGGAAGGATCAAGGGTTATAAAGAAGCAAAACAAAAACACAAGATACTTCCCTGTATTGCAGCACTACGTAAAGTTGCAATTGGAATTTTTGAAAAAAATTTAAATTTTTATTTTATATAAGTAATCTCTATGACCCATCACGGGGTTTGAACTCACAACCCTGAGATCAAGAGTCACATGCTCTTCTGACTGAGCCAGTCAGGCACCCCTGTAATTGGAAATTTTGTATTTTTTTATCATAAACATTTTCAATATTGCTAGTTTCTAATTCACCATTTTGCACTGCTGTATTGTTTTTCCATTGAGTAGTTATACTACCATTCATTTGGTCATTTTCCTTGTGTAATTCCCAATGTTTCACCATGGAACACCATGAACATCTTCACCATGGAACACCACAAACACCATGAACCTTTCTTGAAGTTATTTTTATTTTTTTAAGATTTTATTTATTTATTTATTTATTTATTTATTTATTTATTTATTTATTTATTTATTTAGAGATAGAGCACACGAGGGGGGAGAGGGACAGAGGGAGAGAGAAAGAATCTCAAGCACACTCCCCGCTGAGCGCGGAGCCCGAGTCGGGACTTGATCTCATGACCCTGAGATTATGACCTGAGCCGAAACCAAGAGTCGGACTCTTAACAAATGCATATAGATAGATGATTTTTCCTCCTACTATTACACTATTTTTCACACAAAGGGTAGCATACCAACTGTCTGCACCTGGCACCAGGCAGGCAATTCGGAGAGCCGTGCACGCACCTGCTGATTGGAAATTGCCCAGGCGGCCGCCTCAGGCTCTGGCGTCACGGCCGCGTGCCACCTTTGCTCGGCT